CTCGGGTTCCGCCGCGCCGCCGTTCCCCTTCCCCGCTTTTACTTATTTAACGAAAACAAACAAACCAACCAACCAACCCAAACCCCAAAACAAACACCCCACCGCCCAGAGCGGGCGGCTTCACCAGGGCTGGGGGATTCCCGCCGTCCTGAGCCCGCTGGGGGAAGCGGCTCAGGCCTGCACAGCGCCCGGGAGGCCGGTCTGTAATTAAATCAGGGCTTTTATTAAACCCTAAAAATCAAACCCAGTTCCTGTCCGGAGCTTTTCCAGCCAACAGATTAAAGGTTAAGACCTAAACTGTCGGCTTGCTTTTTTAATTAACATAAAATCACATCAAACCAGGTGCAACTGTACCAGGATTGACATAACCATTAAAAAACCACATTGGAACACATCACAGGTCTAAGGCATTCCCAGCTTCTTTCCTAAAAAATATTATTTAGCTGTTCTCTGAGCAGGATGAGGTTGGGCTGTCACTGCCCCTTAGTGGGAGATACCAAAGTTGAGGCAGGAGGCCTTGGAGGAGATCAGCTCCACTCGCCAAGGGGCTGCTGGAGAAGAACAGGGAAAGGGTTTTTTTCAGGGTATTACCATTCCCCTACCCAGGACAGCACCTACAGATTAACACGAGCACCGTGGATGCCTTACCCTGTCCAGAGCTTTGAAGCTTAGATCAAAAGTAGAGCAAGGTGGAAGTGGCACTGAAGCACTGCCAGCAGTCACAGCAGCTAAAAGGAGTGTATCAAAGGAGTTAACGGAGTAGAAAAAGCAGAAACTGTGAGAAAGTAATGAAAACCAGAGTGAAAAAGATCTGAAAATTAACACACTGGCTGTGAAAAGTTTCAACGTACAAGTTATTTGGTTATACAAATGGCTACAGCAACTAGTCAACTGTCCACCCACTGTCCTAACAAGGGCCACGCTCTATTTTAACATCAAAAAAAAATGTTCAAAGGACATGAAAAACACAACCATCCCCTGTGCCTTCATCTCTGAAGGAGGTCACATTCTCCAACAAACACAGAAGAAAGGTCAAGAACTGCTGATGGGAAAAAAAAAAATCCATCCCCTTTCCCATTCCAGTTTCATGTGTCAGTACTGGGCTTGAAATCAGACCCCAATTTCTAGAGCAAAATCTTTTAGACATGGTTATATAGGGTTTAAAAAAGTATGAACTGCATCAAGCTGTAGGTAACTTGCCTTCAAGGGTAGGTGATTCTGTAGAGGCAGAACACCTCTTCCTCAATTTACTAGAGGAACTGTGGACACTTGGTCTTTTGTCATGGCTGCAGAATTTCACATGAATTGCAAATAAATACAATTATCCAGCTACATTATCTGATACATTTAATGGCATTGAAAAAAATCCTCTTCAGAAACACACCTCAATTTGGTAATCTGGTCTACAAGAATAAGTATTATAAGACTATGAGAACCTCTTTGCAAAGAATCTATGAAACAAGGAGATCAAAGGGAAAGACATTAAGCAACTAATTTAGAGCTTGAGATTCAGGTCTTCAAGAGTTTGACAAAGCACCTCTGGACAAGTTGACAGCTACTTGTGTAGGTGTCCCTCAAAAGCAGGGCTTTGGCATGAGCTGAAAGAACCACAAGAAGTGCTCAAACAAAAAAATATCATGTTTTTAATTTACCTATCCTACAGGACGCAATTACAATGCTCTCTTACACAGCAACGATCCCTTGTAATTTGTCACAACAATTTTTATTCAAACACAAACAGTAATGGGAAAGCCAGGCAGGTTTTCCTCAGGACCAAAGTCTGGACCTCGCTTGTAAGGGATGGCCCAACTCTGAGTTGTTAATGAAGCAAGCCTAGAGATACCCAGAGTCTGATAAAATCCTTTAACATTGTTGAGCTTCACAGTTTATCCACAGCAAGTGGCACCTCACCGCAGATCATGTTATTGTGACGAGTGCTTCTGGTCAGAGGTATCATTCTTGGGCAGTATACAAGTGTTGGAAGAAAACTCCCCTCATGGCGATGGTACATGTATGCTGTGTCTTATCAAGAGTTGTATGTCCTAGTGACAACCCCTCACCGTGCTGGATTATCCCCTCAGAGGGATAACCCAGGACTGGTCCCAACACCACAGCTTTACTCAGCCTTTTGTCTAACTGAAATTCTCTCAGTCAAGACAGAGACATAGAGTTTCAGCCAAGCGTATGTGACACCCAGAGCACAGTATACAGAGGTCAGCAACAGAGGAACAAAAGGAAAGTGCCTTTTCCAGGGGGTCAGAGGAAATATAATTTCACAGAAGATTTCCAAAGGCACTAGTTGGATAAGGTAGATTGTTTCAAGCCAGTTAAGAAGAGGCCTCTCCCTCCTGTCAGAGGAATTAAAAAAAGAGATAGTGTTAAAATACATGTTAATTAAAAATAACTGGTTTTCAGCTATCTCTGGTGGCCAGTGCAAAGAATATCCCCCATTAGTTCACTATAAGGCTTTAAATAACAATTTGAAGAGTTTCAGTAGGAAAAACACCAGTGTGATTACAGTACAGCTCATTTCCTTATCATGTGGCTTCTACACTGAGTTCCAAGATGCCTTGGAATCTTAAGTAGAAATCTCATCAGCTGCTCTGCTTCGCCTCATCATTCCTGTGAACAACTGAACAGAGATCTTCATGCCCATATTTGTTCCAAAGTGGTTCCATGTCCAAAACCTGGAAATTTCAGGTTTATCTTCATTTCCTCAAGCTCTCTGTAGGATGTACTATGAGCCAATCTCTTGAAAAGGACATTGGTGGCAGGGTTTTGACTGCAGGCAGTTTACAGGGGAATTCATGTTGTTCTTGAAGGAAGCTGGGGTTTTTTTTGTAAGTTAGGAACAAGAAACTTGAAAAATCTCCATCTCTAGACAGAAACTAAGCTCCTACAGAGGTTTTTACTTAGAGCTCTGAGACAGAATGATTGAATTATGGAATACTAAGGGGGAAAAAGCAGCCTGGCTGAAAGTGGATCACCTACAAAAAGCAGGTAACTGAAGTACCAAATACAGGTTTTTAACATTTCAAACATCTTCATTACAGCTTGGCTTTGCCATGAAAAGTTGGGGAAATAGCAAAGTGGGGACTACAAGGGTTATAAGGATAAATGCCATCTTTGGTAAAGTGGGTAAGAAATCCAAAGCCTGTAAAAAATACACAGGATGATTTGGGCAATGATTATGTTCCAACAGCCAAGTGTTTGCAGATTTGTTGACAAATTACAGCTTGTTAATGTTATTTATAAACTGTCCCTTCCACACATGGCAATACTAAGTACCACTGCAAAAAACCACAGTGGTATTTCTAACTGTTAGCACAAATAAACCACCTCTGGATAATTCACTGTAGTGAGTGCTCCAATACTAATTAAATCCTCACTGGCTACAGCATTACAACTTTGTGTTTTAACTGCTCGAACAAGTGGGGATTTGCAGCCTGCTGGGACTAACTGGGTAGCTGTCAATTCAAATGTTACAAGGATGTACTGTAATAATCCTAATTTAAGCCTTGCCTCCTGAGAAGAGCAGAGCCAGCAGCATCTTTTGACTAGTAACACTGATACTTCAGCATCAGTTTTCTGTGCTGTTTGCCCCTTATGATAACACTGTTCCCAGTGACAGAAGAAATGGTTTTGTCCTTGGCATTGGAAACAAGTTTAATTACCTGAATAGAGAATTCAATGAAGAGAAGCTATAAACAGTAAACAGCAGCATGAGCAGTATTTTAATTGGAAGTTCTGAAATAAAAGGAACATAACATACTTTTAAAATTAATTACAAAAACCTTTTGCCATATAAATGCCAGTATCTTTAAATCCTACTAATCCTATTCGCATTGTCCAACTTGATTATTTTCTCCAAACAAAAGTAAATGTTTTACAGCTTAGGGCACCTAAAGATAAGCATAGATATTTACTAAAGCAGATGCCAAGAAGTTGCAATACACTTAGTTCGATTATCTATAAACATATTGAACTCAATTATAACAACAATGCAGTAGCACTGCAAATAAGATTTTCCTATTAAAAATAAATCACAAATTACTGGGCTGGGAAGCTTAAAACATAAATGTGACAAACCAATGCTATCGAGTTCTAGGCTGTGTGGTAAATAAAAATTAAGTAATAGAGAAGGGGAGGAAGTTTCTCACTTCTCAAGGCAGCAGCTTTGCTATGCAAATAAGCATCATCAGACCACAAGAGTGTGAGTGTCTGGATTTGAACTCTCCCAGAAGGCCAACAGTCAATATAGTATTAGTGTCATCGTAGTTTTGAAGGCCCAGGGTTTAAGTGAAGCAAACAGACCCTTGAATCATTGAAAGGGGAGGCAGAAAGGAACAGATTTTGGTCACAAAGCCAAATGTGTCCTTGTACATACTGATTGAACTGATGCTGCTGAGTGTTTTTAGCTTAAGCACATTACTGATAGCAGGAAGCAGCAGTCAGCTGGAAAAGTCAGCAGGAAAACTGCCTACCAGGCTTACGTTTTCAAATTGTCTTTATCACTTTTGCTTCACATGGTTATGTTAAACAGGGAAGCTTCTAGAACTGTGGCAGAATGAGGGATAACAAACACTGACTATGACAATTTCCCATTTCTATTTTCACTTAAAGCTCTTCCACAGCTTTTTAAATCAATGTTTCTTTTCACTAGTTCTCCAACTAGTTCGTATTTATGGAAACAGGATAACATACAGCCTCCTGCAACCTTCAACTTATTCCATAAATTAATCTAAAACCATTACCTGCGCATCATCTCTGGAAAAAAAACCCAAAGCAGTAAAGTGAAAACACAGAAAGAAACACTTTACCTGGTGGTGTGAACAACAGTGGAAAAAGTGAGAAATGCCCTATGGTTGTCAGAAGCAAGTAGATGCCAGCATCCTTCACTCTCTGAACAGACAACAAGCTAAAAATTACAAGAATTTGTTACCCTTTTGTCTTTCAGTGACTGAACTTAATTTCAGCAAAACACTACACAATTCACAAGGAACTGAAGAACACATCAAATTGACTTTCACAGGACCTCAGTCCTTCCAAACACTGGACCTGTGATGAAGTCTCCTGCTTCCAAACCACGTGGCTTCAGAGATAAAAGTGCAGGAGAAATATCAGCCAGGAAACCCTCCCCCAGAAAACTACACACATCCACTAAACACAAATATCAGAAAGGCCTGAAGTTTACTACAAGTGATCTTTTTCCTTTGCCAGCTGGCTGCCAACACAGTCACCCCTACTTTTTCTTCCTCCTTTTGTTTCTTCAGTGTTAATTCCCTTCCTCCCACAATTTCCACTGCAAGAGTTTAAGCATCACTAAACCTCTGAACAAGGAAAATTGTTTTTAGCAATACTGGTGAGGCAGCTTATGAACTGCAGCCTCACTTCTACTCTGAACAGGCATTAAGGTAGAAACTGCATACTGTTCTTGTCAAGCATAGTGCAGAAGGTCCCCTTCCTCAGGTGGCTCCTGAATAACCTGCCTAGTATTTTAAATATGAACCACAGCACTCATCAAGGCTTGAACTGCCTGGTAGCTAAAAGACTACAATATTTTTACATTTGTCCTGGCCAGAGTAGATCTCTAAACTATTCAGAGAAAAAGGACTAAATCAGCTATAAATGCTTGCAAAGCTTGAGTACAACAGCAGTATTCAATGTCTCAAGCCAGATAAGCCAATTAATTTCTCTCTTTAAAAGGTAAAGCCACATGACACACCATGAATGTGTCTTGGACTTTTTGGGTGCAATGAATGTACTGCACAAATGTAGTAATAACAATGGGGAAAACAAGCAGCCTGTTTTTGTCCACCATGTCACATGAGTGAAATGTTTCATCAAGCCTGCTCCCAAGCTGTCACTAAGAAAAGGAGGCTTCAAAGTGAAACTGAATGTAACCTTCTAAGAGCTGCAGGTCCACATGCAGCTTAAAACTGAACTCTATTCTTTCATAAGCATGGTTTGTTTTTCATTATTCTAACAGCAATCAAGCATCCGAATCAAAACAGATTTTCTGTGTACTATGCACCTTAATACAATTCAGCATTCAAAGAAACACAAAAGTGTTTACGTAGCACGTGGACCTGTGTGTAAGACTCCTAAACTGATTGCTTAATCATCCCAGAACCGTATGCTTCTGTTCTGATCATCCGTAAGTTAGTACAAAGCTTTGCTGTGCCCCACAGAGCTGATACGAAAATCGACTACTACCAATAAAGCTCTACTTAAAGCTTCTGTCAATGCAAACTGTTGTAAAGTATAAGCCGGTTAGTATGTCATAAAAGATAGTTTAACACTACACCAGTTTCCTACATATGCTATATCAGCATCAGCACATTCTATTGCAAAGGCAGCTACATTTTATTGTGCCTAAAATTAATTTACTTGAATTGCACTAAAACTTTATAGCTTAAGGCATTCTATAAACACATTCACTTTCTGAGATACACTGAAAACAAAGTGATCCTTTTTGAGGATTCCTTAACAAGTGGCTGCAGGTTCAGTCTGGCCAACGACTACGTACAAATTCACTTACCTTAAAGGCAGAATAGCAAGGAGTATTGCTTTTTCATGCACGTGCCAGCCAAACATGAAGGAGCTCAATGCACAAAGAACAAGGCACTGTAGAAAGCCTCTGGGCCCTTGAGGTTTAAACCAAAGACAGAAAACAGAGGGCTAGAAACAACAGGCAAAAACAGGACTTCAGTGAAGAGTCTGGCAATCCCTGAACACAAGCCACTGTCCAATGAGATTATTTCAATGTAAATAAACACCACTGCACCCAGGCTGTGCTTGTGTGGCACAAGTGTTATATAGCACTGGAGGAACACTGCCTAATCTGGATGTACAAGTAGAGCCTTAAGGACTTAATCGGTCTAACAGGAAGGAAAAAGTAGACTGAAAGACTACAACCAACTCTTATTTGTGTCACAAGAACTGCCTTTGAATCTAACCCAATAAACTCATTTTATTGAAGCTACTACATATAGGCATTAAAACAAATACTTCCAGCTAAAGGCCAGTTGCTCATTAGAGTGAACAAGACTCTGTACCCAGATAATTACTTACTGAACCTTTAATTCCGTCACGTGAAGAATGCTATGTCTACCTGTAGCTCATTCTGTTAGGAACACCATAAGCTACCCAAACAGTTCCAGCGGTACCTCTACTCACATCCTAGTTCAACTAACTTATCACAAAAGGTTACTACTAGCTCTGCATGCAGAGTGGTTTTGATCCAAGATTGCTTTTAATATCTGAACTGTTCCAGAGCTGACACAGGCCATCATTTTAGCCATACTTGAAGTAATATTGTGCATCAAGATAAATATTAATGCCACATTTATCCTAATCATTGCTTATTTTTATTTTTGTTTTTAAAGAAAACTTATTTGTTGTCCTGGAATTAAAATTCATGTGAAGCGCATGCTAATCAAATAAGATCTATGGAGAACAAAACAGTTTCCAAAAAAATATTATTTGTTCTTACCAAAATAGATATGAAAGTACAGATTAATGTTGCCAGTGGAGTCACACAAGGGAGGACAGTATGCTGAAACTCTTGAACCAGCCCTCCTGTCATTGAGGCTTTAGGAATTTTTGTGGGATCAAGAAAATTACACTTTAAACCTAAAAACAAAACATAAAAAAAGCACAAACTGATAAGCATTAAGGAAGAAAATGAAGTAGCTGAATAAAGTATATGGCCAAGTCTTTCTTTTAAAGGATAGCAGAGAGGAATGATTGATTTCTGATCTACTGAAGGAAAGTTATCATGCATTATGTAGACAATCGGATGATTTAAGGCAATCTGAAAATGTAATTCATTACCTGCATTTAAAATGGGGAAAGGAAGACAAATCTAGAGAGCTCTATCTGCATTTAGCCACCATATAGTAAGATTAGCATACTGTACCAAAAATTGTTAGTGCTTTATCCATGGCATTGTACAAAGCCCAGAAGTTAGGGGCCCAGTAAGCATGGCAGAGGCCTCGCTTGAAAGGAAAAAGCCGTGAAATGACTTGATGCAGCTGGCCCTACAGAAAACAAAAAAGAAGAAAGAAATGGCCTCTTTTGATGAGAGATGGTTCATATTTTTATAACACAATTTTCTAACAGTTCAGGGGAGTAACAGGTACAAAAAGCAGTTATTACCAATACTATGAAGGGGCCCAATGAAAGAGCAGAAACAAGGCAGACAATCAACCCCAGAAGAGTTACGTGAAGCACGCTGAAACTTCTCCACTTCAGGGATCCGTCTACAAGAAGCAAAGATTATGAAAAGCTACTGTTGCAAGTGGAGAGGGAGACAGAGCATTCCACACTAATAGTGAATTGCTAGCACCTAAAGAAAAAAATACAGCCTTTTATGTAAAATCATTCAGTTGCTTTCTTCAAGTTAGTTTGCATTTACTTTTTCCACATTACAGCTCCTCCATTATACAGACTTCTAGTATTTTCTCTTTCAAAAGAAGCACCACCTCTGTTAATGTGAGGAATATCAAACATGTCTTTCAGTGCTAAGAAGGAGAGAAATTTAAAGGAGGACATTGAAATAGCTTCGATACTATCTAATTGTTTCATATCCAGAATAATTATCATGTCTTCAAACTGCCATCTGTGGTTTGTTCATGTTTGTTTTTCTTAATAAAGAACTCCCTAGAAACATGAATTTTACATAAATAAATTTCAAAGATCTTTAAAGATCTGGCCAACTCTGTCACTCAAAATTTTCATTTGACCCACAGACATTTTATTATGATAGCATCTGCACATCCTGAGTCTTCCCCAGGCCCCCTAATTAACACAATCCCCCAAAACTGAGCAAGAAAACCCCATCTTACCTGCATTATTTGTAGTAAAACAATAGGATCGTAGTAAATAAATGCCATATGCTGGGGCCACATATATGTAGATGTGTTTGAAATGCAGAAGAACAGCAAAAAGAAGAGCACCCTCCAAGTATCGTTTCTAAAGGAAAAAAAAAAACCAGAACCCAAGCTTTTTTACTTGTCCTCCCTTTGTACTAACTTTTAATGGTCCTCTATTGTTCTAAGGCATCAGGACATTTATCATAAGCATAAAAACCACAAGTATTTAATTCAAATTACAAACTCAGTAGCATTTCGCACAACAGGTATGGAGAAGAAAACATTGTCACATGATACTTGGAAAACTGGGGTAGGCCTCACCTCCCTGCAGCTTCTGAGTTACCTTTTCTGAGGCCTGGTGACTTGGAAGAAGGTAAGATGGCAGGAAAGCATGCTACATTGCCGAGGTGTGACACAGAATTTAGTTTTCTCACAGGGAACTGCAGTGCTGCAGCAATCAGCAAGCAATTATGGTGAGTTTCAAGCTCTCCTCTTCCCCACTAAACTCAATAAATAATTAGAGAGCAATCTTAGCACCCCTCAACTTTGAGCTGCTCCCAATACCTTCAGTATAAACAGCAAAATGAAACTAATTAATGCACCTGAAATACATACGGTTAAAAACAGGAAAGAGCCACTCAAGTTTACCTGACATAGTCGGGCAACAGAAAGAAGCATCAGCCCAAACAGAAAGCCATTGTACTGAAAGTGGATATCTGAACTTGAGTCAAGAAAGGAATAAAGCAAGTTTTCTTTATTACTATCAGTCTTCTGGGGAAGACTGAAACTTATAAACAATGAATTCAATTTAAAATGGAACTTAAAGTAAATTCACTCCACACAGACAGAAAGTCACTGCTTAACCACACCTGTAAGCACAGACAAGATCTACTAATATCAGTGCACTATCTTGATGAAACAAAGCATAACAATCTGACCTCATATGTATTGTGCAACTTGTATGATATAAACCAGAACAAATGAAAGGTTAATTCTCCACTTCCTGAATTTTTAAATATTAGTTTCTTCCTCACACTAGTTAACAAATGGAGACAGTAGCCCTCACTTATCACCTACCACCTGTAAGCAGGCAGCTTAAACCAGGACTGGGATAGACAAAAGTAGTTCTTCCTCAGCTAGATCAATACACACAGTCAAGACTGACCCACAATAATTGGACCTTCCAGAGGTGTTTTTATATCCTCTTTAAAAGAAACCCTTGCTAATTCTCATGTAACCAACTGAATACAGCCTAAGCATAAAGCACTTGCAGAGATTTTTCTTGACATGGAACAAACCTAGAACCACACCCAGAAAAAAAAAAAGCAGCTCTCTGCTAATACTTCTGTATGCAGGCAGAGGGGGAACAGCCAGCAGGAACAGGCATGTTGCTGCCAGACTGGTCCTCCTGCCATTCTGGCAAGTCAGATGAAAACCTGAACAATTTCCATTTTGCCAAATAATAATTGTAATGAAAACATGAAGTTATTGAATAACCCCAGAAACACAAACAGTAACGTTACTTGCTGTGATAGTAATAATAATATTCATGGCTTTGTACCACATGCTGTAACAGCTTGTTAAAAAAAAAAAAAAACAAATCAAAACAGAAAACAGCCATAACACTTTGAAAGGATACGATCCACAATTAACAACCCAAAATTCCACAAGAGCAGAACAGCAAGAATAAATGTTGGTTTTTCCAGGGCATCCTTTGCAGCTCGTTTTCCATTTACACATCTGCAGCACCTGAACAAGAGCAGAATAAACAGTATCTTAATTGAAACAGCCAAGAAAAACCTTGTTGCTTTTAAGAGTTGAAAAGCACACTTAACCCCAAGAAAACTATTTATCAGGATGGAAGGCAATGATAGAACTCTTGCTAAATTCATCAAGAGAAGACAGTGTCATAAATAAAGTTTAGTGAAAAAAGGATTTTAAAATGTCAGTGACTGTAGTATGTTCCACATGCTAAAGCTTAAGTAACTTAGTCTCAGGTTTAAGTCTCAGGTTCAGTAACAACCATACAGTTGTCATAACCTGTTTGCTATCAACTTCCCTTAAATGAAGAGCATATTGCTACGTCTTGATTCAAAGTATCAAGTTGTATTTAAGGTCCTCAGTCAGACATTAATCTCTTCCCGGCTCCCCTCCCAATATTATGAGCTATTTCTGTTGGTTAAAAAATATCTTATTAGTTCTCAGTGTGAAGCCATAAGGTCCATATTATTTTTGAAGGTAAGGTTAGATCAGATTAAAAAGTTATTGATGATTTGTGTTGAATTGCTATTAGTAGAGCCATTTTAAGAAAGCCAGCTCATTCATGCATCCGAGTCAAAACACTAAAAGGAAAAAAGTCACTACACAAAGTCACTACACAAAGCTAACCTGTTTAAAATAAAGTAAATAAAGGTGCTTAGGTAGTGCTCCAGTGCAACCCAGATTTTGAGCAGACAGAATAAAATGAGGGAAGACTTATAGCCAAAATGTTAAAGGAGGCAACATGTTTCTCAAAACATCTCTCCCCCTCTACTCTTTAGGTGTAGGATAAACACTTATTCACAAAGTCAGAGCACACTGAAAACATACAATCTTAATATTGTTAAATCAGTTCATCATCAAGAATACTAAAAACACTGTAGTGACTTTGCATATTTGATACTTGGCTTTTTGTCACAAGTTTCCTTTATGCTTCTACTCAAAGTTAAGAAAGTAATAAAAGTAGTTAACAGGAAGAAACAGTGGGGTGCACAGAAGCTGTCCTGTAACTCCTACAGAATGAACCCAGCAACTGAAACACAATACCTATAACATGTGAAACAGCAGCTAATGTCTGAACATGTACAAATCTGATCACATGCACAGCATCTCCAAGAACAAAAAGTTATCTTGTGTTTAGCACAATGTTCCAAATTTATCCTTGAATAGGTTAAAGCAACTTTGACATCTCTGAATTTACAAGCTTATTTCTACAAATAAGCTTTTGTTGTTACTCTACAAAAATTTCATATATTAAAGACTACCCACTGTCCCTAAAATTAGAACATTAAGACTTACTCACGAACTGCATATATGAAAAGGATATCTGTAAAGATGACGGAAAATCTTTGGAAGAGGATGGTTGCACGACTGGTGTAATTTAGATTTTCAATAACCAACATCTTGGGGTCAAAGTACTTGGCAACATGCGAGAGTGCACATTCAAACCAAGCAAAAAATGGTGGATAATCCAGGGTCCATTCCGAAGTTGCCTAAAGACAAGATTAAATAGTTTAACACGATCCATGCTGTTTACAGTCCTTCAGGTACAGTTTGGCACAGCAAATCAGCTGATATATTTTATCTTGGTAGCCTCTATTTAATAGAAAATACTTCTCAATAATGTAGCCAGCTGTATGGTGCTGAACATGATTTGAGCTGTTCTGTAGTACTGGCAGAAGGATGGGACACCTCTTAATTAGTAGAAAAAGATTAACCAGCATTTTATGTATCTGCACCTAACCACCATAGAGCTGTCTGTTCTTTATAAATCAACTCACAGTAATAGGGCCAATATTAAAAAAAATCTTAATAAAATAGCTCACAGTGAATATTGTTCTACATTTGAGGAATCACCAGCACCATCAGCATTGTTACAGCCTCAAAATTATTTTTACTCATTAGTCAGCAAGTCTTAATTCTAATAAGACCTTATCAAGATCAAATACTATTATCTGATCTCTTCCCATACAAACTGTTATTACGCCCTGACCAGTTATTAACTCCTTCACTATGGAAGCAGGAGAGGAGAAAGGAGGCACAGTGCCAGTTGGGATGGGGTCTATCTGTCAGCATGCATGTTCCCAAATGCTTATCTTATGCTGCTGAAATCCACCATACGCTTTAGCACTGGGATCTCCAGGAGTTTGTTTCACTGTACTGGATTAGCCTGTCAAAGTTCTGCACTGCACCAATCATTTACTCCTGGACACACAGTTCCCAGATGCTTACGTGGAGGAGTACTAGAGACTATAGTATTTACTCCAGAACTCAAGGAGATGCTGCGAGATAAATTAAAATCCAATTGTGCAGGGTGAGCCTATCACCAACTTAAAGGATCTTCACCTGGATTAAAATCGATGCATGCTAGCAGCACACCAGCAGAGGCTCAAAACTTTAATACAGTGATTGACTTCATACTGTATATACCCATTTAAATGATTCATTCTTTACTGTGATAACTGTGTGACATTAATGACAAGAGCAAAGAGAGCAGCAATTTAAGATCACTGTGCAACTTGCTTCTGTGTTACACTGCCTTTCTAACAACACACGTGCCTCAATTGTCTTTTCTAATAACCCATACACCTTAACTGTCTTTTCCATTTTACCTTCATAAATACTAGCAGCTTCCCCAAACAATTCTCATTTTTAAACTAATTGCTACACAGGGCCAGCAAGTTGTGACTGGTATGTTTTTGTACCACTGCATTACAGCGGCCAAGCATCAGCATCCACGGCACATACTTTCTGCAAATAAAAGCCTTTCTCCTCTAGCATTCTCGCAGGCTGACATACCCAATACATCTATAATTTATACACAGCTAAAAAAACCCCACCAAACACGTACTTACTTCATAGTACCACTGAGAGATGGGCAAGTTGTGAGTGATGGCAAGCCAGTTCCTATGTACTTCAAAATCTGTGGAATAACTGCAAAAGATTTAAATTAAGAGTCACACAGGTGCACTTAAAGGAGAAACATTTCAGAGGACATCAGTATCAGCTTTCTCTTTAATCTACCTGTGGCGACCAGCTCTAGGGCAAGACTTTGATCAAGTAACTCAGTAACAAAGCCGCTGCATGAACTTTCTGTGAAGGACATATACATGTGAGTATAAGACGAGAATTATTTATATCTCGGCTTTTTCTGACAAGTAATGTCAAAGTTACAGGTTCTAACCGATTTTTTTCATCAGCAAATTGATTTTTAGGGAGGGAAAAAAGCTACAGTGTCTTTTAAAATTAAAAGGCGTTAATGTTTCAACATATTTAAAGGCCTTGCCAAGCACCAGCCAGCCGGAATGGGCTGTAAGCGCCTTCAAACGGAAAAGCACAGCTACTCCCCGCCGCCGAGAGGACGAGGAGGCAGCACCACCCCGCTTCCCACAAAGGCCCGAAGGAAATAAGGCCCTCCGGGACATCAGGGCCCGCTCAGGAACCGCGGCACCCCGCCGGCCCGCGCCCCCTTCCCC